TCGGACCCTATTCGGAAATTGGCACCTTTTGAAATTTGTGTAAAATTTTGGGGAAAAATTTGCTAAATTCTGACCCACTGTATTTGGATAGTTAATTTCATAAATGGGGGTTTTTCCGGGGGCACCCATTCGAAAAAAAAAAATGGAGTTTCTAGCGAAAAAATCTTTTTTTTGTAAAAAAACTATACAGTAAAAATTGGCCAAAAATGGGGGCTCAAAGGGGGCAAAATTCCCGATGCAAAACACGCCGAGACCGCTAACTTTGCGAGAGCAAATTCCATAAGTTTTCTATAAAATTTTTAAAATTTTTGGGTTTTTTTAAGATGGGAAAAGATTCTCTATTTTTTAAATTAGAGAAAATTTTTTTTTTTTTTTTTAAATTTTGGGGCCGCCCCTTGAAAAAGAGTTTTCGGAGAGGGCCTGTCGACCCTAAAAGGGGGGTTTAAAAAAAAACCAATAAAAAGTAATTACTTACCCAAAATGCTTGAGTCTTAACCCCTTCACTGCCCGCAACCCCCCCCCCCTGAATGTCTCCTGGTGTCGAAAAATTTTAAAAAAAAAAAAAAAATCATATGAAATGATAGAAAAATCTTTTCCCGATTGAAATGAAAAACCAAAAACAAAAAATTTTTATGGAAAACGGAGGGAATTACCTCTCACGAAGTTAGCAAACCTCAGCAATATTTAAAAAATTTGGAAATTTCACCCCCCCTTTGTTTCCCTATTTTTTGGGCAAATTTTCCATTGTTCCAGGCGACCAAACTCATAACTTTTTTTTTTAGAAACCCAATTTTTTCTATCAAATTGAACAAGAAATTTCCCCCCATTTACCTATTTCACTCCCCAATAACGTGGCCCAAAAATTTTGAAATTTTGGCCCAAATTTCATAAAAATTAAAAATATGACAATTTCAAAAAAAAGGTTCAGAATGAACAATGCAGACATTTCTGGCTAAAAAAATAACTTTTCCTTCTTCATCTTTAAAGTCCCCCGGGCCCCCCTGTGAAAAAAAATTTTTCCTTGCTTTCTTTTTGAATTTTTTTTAAAAACAAAAAATAGAAGATTTACGGGTTATGCAGACTACTGCAATACAAAAAATAATTGTATAAATAAAATCAACCCATTCATGACTGCATATTAGAATGGCTTTTTGGACATTTTTTTGGAAAATGATATCATTTGCTTACTTTTGAACATCGGAAAAAATTTAAAACATTTCTCCTATTTTTGAGCTCCATTTCCGGGTTTTTTTTTATAGTAAAAAAGAAAAATCACCTCTTTTTCCCTATAATATTTTTTCCTTTCTATCAAATGGACCAAGAAAACGAGAATAAAAACCAAAAAATAAATCATACGAAAATAAAACCAAAAAATCGGCTTTTTAAATTTAAAAAAAAAAGGTCAGTTTTTTTTTTTCCTCATTAGGGAAACCGCATGCTCCAGGATTTTTTTTATATTGGCACATTTAAACCACACAGCCCCTTTCTCTCACATGGGGGGCCTACCCAGTTTTTCCCCCTGCTTCATTTAACTGCTAGAATTTATGGTATATTTTACGTCAAACACGGTACCTTCGTAAAAACTTAAAAACCCGACCTTGACAGTAAAAGGGGTTAAAATGAAGGGTAGAAGTGAATAGTTTTTTTTTGTAAAAAGTTAGGTGTGGCGGGTATGGTAGCCAGCCAGGCCACCCCCCCCCCCCTTCCCCCAACAAAATATACTTCAACATTTAAACCCCTTTGACTGTCGCAAGCCCCTTTCTAAAAATTGTTTTTTCAGGGTTGCAAAATTTTTGGAAAAAATAAATTATTTTTCTTAAAAAGTGATAGAGAATTTTTTCCCCCCGAGGAAAATGATGCCAAAATTTAAAAAATTTGGGAAAAAAATAAACAAAATTTTTACCTCCCCAATTTAGTGTTTCTCAGCGACATAAAACGCATGGGCGATTTCATTTTTTGACTTTGACCCCGATTTTGGCCTTTTCCGTTTTTCCATTTTACAAACCATTGCAAATTTTTTGGGAAACTCCCCTTTTTTTTTTCCTTATCAATGATAAAAAAAAAACCGCCCTTTTAAACCCGTTTTTGAAACCCCCAAATAAAGTGGTCAAAAATTTGGGCCCAACCCCCAATTTTCCAGGGAAAATTTAAAAAAAGATCCCAATTTCAAAAAAGGGGCCCAGAATAAAAGTGTAGACATTTTTTGCACTAAAAACAATCCTCTATTCTTTAGTCACATCTCTGGGGCCCCTTTTATATTACTTTTAAATTTCTTTTTTTGATTTTTTTATCATACAAAAAATACAAAATTTTACGTTATCATATACTGCATTTTGTAAAAAGGGGTATAAATAATATCAGTGCCTAGTGAAAGAATTTTAAACCCCCCCGGTTGCGTTTTTGGACGGGGGTGTGATTTGCTTACCCCCTGAACTTTTGGTAAATATAGAACTTTTCCCAAACTACTTTGACCCCAATTTCAAGGTCGTTTTCATTGTGAAATTTAATTCAAAATCACCCTTATTTCTGTAATATTTTTTCCATTTTATCATATGGGGAACCCTGAAAACGAGAATAAAAAGATAAATACAAAACGAAAGTACACCTAAAAAAGTCTGAAATTTTAATAAAAAAAAAAGGGTCAGGGGTTTTTTTTTTTTTCTCTTTAATGCACTGTTTGCTTCGGGGTTTTTTTTTATGTGGTGCACACTGACCACAAAAACCCATTCTCTCACATGGGGGGGCCTACCAGCTTTCTCCTGGTTATTTGAAGCCGCAAAAAATTTTTGAGTATACATGAATTACGTCCGAAACACTGACCGTAAAAACGTATATATACCCAAACCCAAAAAAGTCCAAAGGGTTTAAAAAGCCCCAAGTGATAAAAGCTTTTAAATGTACACTCATTAAAATATTTTTAGTCTTTTAAAAATAGGGTGCAAAGTGAATACAGCCTCTCCTCACTTAAAAACAGAGATAGGGGGCCTAAGACCCGTCGGGAAACCCATTTCATCGCTAATCGAGGAATGACCCCCTTTCCCACACTTCAAAAATGTCAAACCCCCCAAATAGTAAAACATTTGGTTTTAAAGTTTGTTGGGAAAATTTCCCCTTTTATCCCGTTTTTTTATTAACCGTAATAAAAAATGAAGCAGGTCACTGAAATTAAATTTCCAAAAATTCCAGGGAAAAACGTACATGCTTTTTATTGGGAAATTTTTTTTTTGAGAAAATCACAACTTTTTTCCCGTCTTTTCATAGGGTAAGAGTCATTTTTTAAAAGTTTTCTCTTTAGGCGTGGGAAAATTTTCTGTTTTGGTCGTGGGCACTTTTTTTTTTTTTTTCCCCCTCCCCCCCTCTGCTTTTCAGTACCTCTCCCATAAAACATCAGATTTTTTTTAAAATTTTGGGGATCTTTATCAAGCTTCTTTCATTTTTTGTGTTTTTACCCAAAATTTGTCCTTTGGAAAGGATAAGATAGGTAGATAACCTTTATTGATTGTAATAAATAATTATACATTATTTTTTTAAATGCCGGAGCTTACAAATCCCCTAAAATCATGGGGAAGCATGAATTACTGAGAAATGCTGTGCCTTTTTCCCCTCTCTTTTTATAGCCCCCGCCCAAAACATTTCCCCCAGTGCCTCTTCCCTAAGTCAGTTTTTTTAAATTTAAATTTTGGGGACTTTTTTTGTGCTTCTACGTTATTTAATCAAACTTTTTTTTATCCGGGCTTGCTGTAAATTTTAAGTTGATTTTTCCCGCCTTCACCTGCCTTCAAAAATCTCAAAAATAAGTGGCCTTGGCTTGAATAAAATGAAAAAGGGGCCCTCGGCAAACTTTTTTGTATCTGGTAGTCAAACCACATCACCAGTAATTTCTCCAGTTCTTGAATGAGGCCTTTCTGCTGCCTAGTTATTATGGCTTTAAATCCTGTCGATGCTTTCACTGCCTCTTTCACTCTATCTTTATCCTTCATGTTAGTGGAAATGGTAGAATGCGCCACCTTCAAGTCATCGGCTATCACTTGTACTTTCTTACCAGCTTCATACTCATTTATAACCTTCATTTTTACCTCGAGATCAAGAGCCTTCCTTTGGTTCTTAGCACTTCCTTCAGGTGAAGTAAGGATCTTCCTTTTCACCGACATCTTGTACTATGGGATGCACAATAAAGTGCAAATTTGTACAAATATGTATTCTTGGAGACAGCGAAAGCTGAGTGTCTGTAGGACGAAGTCTGAGATACTTGACGCTGAAACATCACTTTGCCTGTATAAATGTCATACGTATTTTGTACAAGTTTGGTAGCTAGCATTTAAACTACTCCAGAGCAGTTGTTATTATTATTAGTTAGTAGTAGTAGTAATGGTAGTAGTATTCTTCTTTCAACAAACCAGCTGCATCCCACTGAGGCAGGGTGACCCAAAAAGAAAAACAAAAGTTTTTCTTCTTTTTACATTTAGTAATATATACAGGAGAAAGGATCACTAGCCTCTTGCTACTAACATTTTAGTTGCCTTTTATTGGCACTTAAAACACTGTATATTTGCTTCAGTTCTCCTTGTTGACTGTTTGAGCACGAGATTACACGGTCTGGCCATGAGTTTACATTTCCATGCTATGTGATAGTCAATAATGTTCCGTCACAGTTTACCCACTCAGATTGATCTTGCAAGTCTTGGTGTTGTCCATGCTTCCTTATATGGGCATAATAATGCATGGCTGCCAGCCATCACTACATGGTTCAGTCAAGGAACCAATTTCCCCGATTCTGAAGTGTTTCACATTAAATGAGTCTTACTAGCTGTAGCTGAGGTACAAATAGAGTTTTGGATAAAGAAGTGTCTGATTCAACATTGAAATTTATTTTTATATCTGGGGGGACATGAGATTTTTTGAAGTGTCAAGGTGGGTCATGATGCAGAGAAGGTTGGGAACCACTGAACCACTGTCTTAGATATCAAATGCAAATTAACTGCTTACATTTTTTCCTGTAGATTGGCTCAATCACCCGTGCCTCGAAGGTAGGCTTCGAGGAACTGTCTAATAACATTGCCAAGATAGAGGTCGACTGTAAGGAATCGTGGGATCATCTAAAAGCCATTACAAAACATGCAGATTAAGCTCAAGTAAGATGGCTATTAATGCTAATTTACAGTGTTCCACTGCACTGAGATCATTTTGCCTAAGATGTGATTTTTATAATTACCAGAAGCTACTTGTGTGGTGTATTTATGGTGTATTTACAGTAATTGTTATTATGAACTTGCTAGTGTAAACATTTTTTATTTTTGAAGGTTGGGAGTTTTATTGTGCATATACTTTATTGTTGACAGGTTTGAGTGTTAATATGAATGAGTGTATGTATGGTACCTTGTTATGGAGAAGACTGCTGAATGATCTAGTAGGTAAAAGCATTCTGTAAATATTATGACTTTCTTCCACAACATTGAGAAGGTAAGTTTATTTAGGTACAGGTACACATAAGTACAATTATCATACCAAGTAATAGGTGTTCAAATCACCCAGGATAACCCAGAAAAGTCAAAATTACTTACTTCATTTGGGATCCTTGTAATATCTTGTTCATTGTCATAATATTTGTGTTAGTGGAACATTGCATAAGCTAAGGTTTTGTTAAGCAGTTTGTGTTTCCTTGCAGTGTGCTCCAGTGAACCAGTGAGTGGGACAGTAGTGGATTAAGACCCAGATTGGGCTATTTACTGGGACAGTAAGTGGGGATGTTGCAGTTCAGAGGTTCATTTAAACTGTGGTGTCTGTACACTTGCAAGACAACTGTTGAATGCATGATTACCAGTGTGTCTACAAGTGTCATGGACTATACATAGACACCTGTTGAATGAATAATAACGATAATTTTATTTCTACTAGGTAGTAGGTTGGTAGACAGCAACCGCCCAGGGAGGTACTACCGTCCTGCCAAGTGAGTGTAAAACGAAAGCCTGTAATTGTTTTACACGATGGTAGGATTGCTGGTGTCCTTTTTTCTGTCTCATAAACATGCAAGATTTCAGGTACGTCTTGCTACTTCTTTTTGGGCCACCCTGCCTTGGTGGGATACAGCCGGTGTGTTGAAAGAAGAAAGAAGTACATGTACAAGGTATACAGACCATAGCTAACATCACTGACATACTACTATATATATAGAAAGCCTCTTGTTATGCAGAGCATTTTGGGCATATTAGGTCACTTTTGTACCAGTATGTGACCCACACCAGTTGACTAACACCTAGGTACCTATTTTACTACTAGGTGAACATGGACAACAGGTGTCTTAGGAAACATGTCCTGATGTTTCCACCTGTACCAGGGATCGACCCCCCGACCTCAGTGTGTGAGCTGAGTGCACTACCAATTGAGCTACGGGACACTTAATGATTACCAGTATGTTGACAAGTGTCATGGACTGTACATAAATGTCTTTTTCCACATTGTAGGTAATGCCTACAGGTATGGCAGAAAGAGACCTGGTTCATAACAAACCTTGGTTGAATATAACTTGATAAAGCTCAACTCCATAATAAGAACTCACTCTGCATCTGTACTGTCAGCCTAAACAGTGCTAGTAGACACTGTAAATATAAAGAGATTTAAAATAATAAACAAAATTCACTTGTAGATGAATGGTTCAGAGAACCGACATGTTGTTAAATTAGACACATGTGCAACTCTTGGGTATCTTTATTGAGGAAACGTTTCGCCACACAGTGGCTTCATCAGTCCATACATAGGAGAAACTTGAAGAACAGGAGGAGAATGAGGTAATCAGTCCCTCAACCTTGAGTCGATGTGGTCAGTCCATCAATCTTGAATAGAATACGGCATATGAGCGGAGAAGCAGCTTATAAACCGTATGGCAGGAGAGGTGCAGCAGTCGTAGGTGGTGTCACATTTGTTCAATGTGGAAGTAGGTCGTGCCCAAGGGTTAGGCAAGCGAAGAATTCCCAAGTATTAAGATCCCAAGAAGTTGCAGTGTCTGACAGGATTGTAGATGAATGGTTCAAAGAACCGACATGTTGTTAAATTAGACACATGTGCAACTCTTGGGTATCTTTATTGAGGAAACGTTTCGCCACACAGTGGCTTCATCAGTCCATACATAGGAGAAACTTGAAGAACAGGAGGAGAATGAGGTAATCAGTCCCTCAACCTTGAGTCGATGTGGCCGTATTCTATTCAGATTGATGGACTGACCACATCGACTCAAGGTTGAGGGACTGATTACCTCATTCTCCTCCTGTTCTTCAAGTTTCTCCTATGTATGGACTGATGAAGCCACTGTGTGGTGAAACGTTTCCTCAATAAAGATACCCAAGAGTTGCACATGTGTCTAATTTAACAACATGTCGGTTCTTTGAACATTCATCTACAATCCTGTCAGACACTGCAACTTCTTGGGATCCTAATACTTGGGAATTCTTCGCTTGCCTAACCCTTGGGCACGACCTACTTCCACATTGAACAAATGTGACACCACCTACGACTGCTGCACCTTTCCTGCCATACGGTTTATAAGCTGCTTCTCGCTCATATGCCGTATTCTATTCAAGATTGATGGACTGACCACATCGACTCAAGGTTGAGGGACTGATTACCTCATTCTCCTCCTGTTCTTCAAGTTTCTCCTATGTATGGACTGATGAAGCCACTGTGTGGCAAAACGTTTCCTCAATAAAGATACCCAAGAGTTGCACATGTGTCTAATTTAACAAAATTCACTTGGTAAACTATACTTTTGATTCCTTTATTTTTAATGTTTATTGTAACATAATTGTACATTGTGTGTACGGTGCTATATTAGGTGTACAGTAGAGTACTTAATTATTATTTATTAACACATCAGCCATTTCCCACCAAGGCAAGGTAGCCTGAAAAAAAAAAAACTTTCATCAACATTCACTCCATTACTGTCTTGCCAGAGGCATGCTTACACAACAGTTATAAAACTGCAACATTAACACCCCTCCTTCAGAGTGCCGGCACTGTACTTCCCATCTCCAGGAATTAAGTCCGGCTTGCCGATTTCCCTGAATCTCTTCATAAATGTTACTTAAATGGTTATTTATGTGTTATGTTTTAACATTATTCCATAAAATGTTTAATTCATGTTAAGTGATAAACAAAGATAGACAAAGAACTTTGTCCTTGGAAGCAAAGAGTGGAATGTATGAAAGTATAATTTTACCAATGCTCTTATATGGGTGTGAAGCATGGGTGATGAATGTTGCAGCGAGGAGAAGGCTGGAGGCAGTGGATATGTCATATCTGAGGGCAATGTGTGGTGTGAATATAATGCAGAGAATTCATAGTTTGGAAGTTAGGAGGAGGTGCGGGATTGCCAAAACTGTTGTCCAGAGGGCTGAGGAAGGGTTGTTGAGGTGGTTTGGACATGTAGAGAGAATGGAACGAAATAGAATGACTTCAAGAGTGTATAAATCTGTAGTGGAGGGAAGGCGAGGTAGGGGTTGGCCTAAGAAATGTTGGAGGAAGGGGATAAAGGAGGTTTTGTGTGCGAGGGGCTTGGACTTCCAGCAAGCATGTGTGAGCGTATTTGATAGGAGTGAATGGAGACAAATGGTTTTTAATACTTGATGTGCTGTTGGAGTGTGAGCCTCTGTCTGCTGAGTTGGAGACAGATGAACACTAACTTTTTCTTCCTTGTGTTTCAGAATATCGGAGTTTTTAGCAGACTGTGCAGAGCATATATTTGTTCTGGGAATTATTTATCAGCGATTGATGACTGGGTAAGGAGCACAGAAGCAGTATTGAATGTCTAGCACCATTATAAGAAAATATCAAGATGGTCAGATTTTTAGATATCAAAAGGATTTTTAATAATACAAAATTTTATGAAATACATTGGCAAACAGGTGATCTTAACAGTGCAGAATAAGTCACTGTGACATGGCCTGGCACTTTACTTCTGCTTCACCTCAGAGAGAATTTTTCCCCTACTATCTGTTGCTAGTTTTGCAACATTGCATAGCAAGTCTGAAGGATCTTGAGCTAAAGATTTCCATTCCCATGTGGCTTTTTCTGCATAAATTTTTATGAAGTTATTCAGGGAAACCAGTTAGCTGGACTTGAGTCCCGGAGGTGGAAAGGGTAGTGTCTGCACTTTGGAGGGGTGGAGATGTTGCAGTCAGAGGATACTCTGTAATGTCAACACTTCTGGAAAGATGACAATTGAGTGTATGTTGGTGAATATGTGCTTCCTTTGGGTTCATTGGTGACCAGGAATAATAGAATGTTTCTTGTTTTAAAGTTAAAGGTACAGTAATTAGCATTTTACAATGGTGAACAATATTACAACATGGAACTCCTTTATGTAAGTAAGTTAAACAATTTTTAATAAAGAATTTATTTACTCTTTAACAGTCTCACTCTGTTGGTCTTTCTTGATTTATTAATGGAATTTAACAAAGCTTTGGTTAATGTAATTTTCTTATATTGTGCAGCAAAATGTTTTGTAACTAGCAGGGTTTGTTTACAGATTTCATCTGTTCTTAGTTTGGTTGGGTTAACCACTATACTTACCCCTGGTCATTAAGATTCAAAAGTGTGCTAAAACTAAATGAGTTAGCCCTGGAGTACAGGACCTTGCCGATAATGTGTACTACAACTAAACGAGAAGGAAGGCAAACCACGCGAGTGACAAATAAGACTCGCGGGAAGATGTCGTAGAGGTAGGCAATTGACACAAAATGTTTAAATTTGAAAAGTACACATGTACTTTTCACACACCAGAGAGAAATAAAAAGTGACTTCAGATACACAGCCTTGGTAGGGGGGGTGTTGTGCTCTCACATCAGTGACAAATTTCTCCCATTCTATATGGAATGCTTATCCTCACTTTATTCTGCTCAGTGGGCACTTATTATGGGGTCATGAAATCGTTAGTGGACACGATTGCAAACAATCCATACCACAGGTGGGGCTTTGAAACCCGCGTCAGAGAGTCATAAACTTCGCCAATGCGTTATCCACTGGGCCAGCTGGCACCATTGATCAGCTTCATTTTTCCACTGTATGCATATTTCGCAAGTTTTGGCAAGAAGTAAGTTATGGTACTCGGGTGATGGGAGTAGGATCTCTCTATCTGCTGGGCTTTGGTATGGGCTCAAAACTGACTGACTCAGAATGTTTTGGGTTCCTGTGTCAGTTTGCAAAGGGGAAAAGTCTGTCCTTTCCTGTCATTGCCCATACTTTGGGTATTGGTTCTTCCCTATACATCAGGAATCAGGGCTGATAAGTGGAAAAGCTGTGAGTGCTCTTGAATCCCTCAAACAAGAAGAAAAACATAAGTCTCATGGAGAGAATCATCACAGATTGATGCACATTTAAGCTTAGATTTATTACAGTCATAAGGAGGGTTTGAAGGCGTTTTTGATTACTAGTTCTCAAATTTTATTTTCTCCACAACCATTCACTTTTTTCTTTGTGTATGTGTGTAAATGATGGAGGGTATTACCTAGCACCTCAGAAATTGTGGTAGTTATACTGCAGGGGCCCTGCGTTATGCATTTCGCTTTACGGAGTTCCGCTAATGCGGTCATTTCAAATGATGACCTAAAACTCTCTATACGCTCCCCCACCTGACTTTCTAATACAGTCACCGAACCCCTACCCTGTTTGTTTACTTCTCCATGAGCTCCTTAAGAAACCACGTCTCTCATTGTGTCTGGGAAACTCCAAAATTTCAAGTGTTTTTAATAGTTATTTAATATTTTTGTATCTTCTTTCAACACACGGCCATTCCCACCGAAGGCGGGGTTGTCCAAGGAAAAAAAACGAAAGTTCTCCTGTTACACTTTAGTCTATATACAGGAGAAGGAGGTTACTTGCCCTTGCCTCCCGGACATTGTAGTCGCCTCTTACAACAGCATGGCTTACGGAAGGAAAGTATTCTGTTCCACTTCCCCATGGAGGTAAGAGGAAATAAACAAGAAGAAGAAAGAAAATAGAAGAAAACCCAGATGAGTGTATATATATGTTTGTACATGTATGTGTAGTGTGACCTAAGTGTAAGTAGAAGTAGCAAGACATACCTGTAATCTTGCATATTTATGAGACAGACAAAAAACCAGCATCCTACATAATGTTAAAACAATTACAGGCTTTTGTTTTACATTCACTTGGCAGGACGGTAGTACCTCCCTGGGTGGTTGCTGTCTACCAACCTACTACCAATATATTTTATATATACTCTGATAATTATACTTATGTATACCTGTACCTAAATAGACTTACACACTGTGCTGGCGTGCAGGTACACATTAAAATCAGTAAGAGTGTCTTATGTCTCGAGATGCATATTAGTAATGATAATATTATCTCTATTAATATTCATTATGTCTCATGTAAAGGCCGTATTTACGTTAATATACACTTTCTCTTTTTTTTTTTTTTCTTTCTTTCTCTTCAACACATCGGCGTATCCACCGAGGTGGGGTGGCCCAAAAGGAAAAAAGAAAGTTTCTCCTTTTACATTTAGTAATTATAACACAGGAGAAGTAGTGTTTACTATTTCCCTTGCTCCCGGGCATTTTTGGTCGCCTCTTACTATACAGCATGTGGCTTATGGAGGACGAATTCTGTTCCACTTCCCCATGGAGGTAAGAGGAAATAAACATAGAACAAGAATTGTAAGAAAAATGGAGAACCCAGAGGGGTGTGTATATACATATATGCTTGTACATGTATGTGTAGTGTGACCTTAGTGTATGTAGAAGTGCAACGACGTACTGAAACCTTGCATGTTTATGGACAGGGAAAAATGGGCACAGCAAGCCTACCATATGTAAAAACAATTAATGGTTTCGCCCCACCCCCTCCCCCCTCCCCCCCCATCCCTTCCCTTTTTTACACTCACTGGCAGGACGGTAGTACCTCCCTGGTGGGTGTTTGTCTACCAAACCTTCTACCTAGGGTTAAATATTACACATTTTCTTTAAGCCTTGTATGATATTTTTTCAATTTTATTAGTAAAATAGATACAAACCCATTGGTAGTAGGATTGGTAGACAGAAATACCGCCCCAGGGAGGTATACCGTTGCATGCTGAGTGTTCACGTATGCCTGTAATTGTTTTACACGTGGTAGGATTGATGGTGTTTTGTCTGTCGCATAATCATGCTAGGTTTTCAGGTACGTCTTCTTCTTGTCTTACTTCTGCTTTACACTTAGGTCACACTACACATACATGTACAAGCATATGTATATCACCCCTCTGGCGTTTCTTCTATTTTCTTACTAGTTTGTTCTTGGTTTATTTCTCTTTTCTCCATGGGGAAGTGGAACAGAAAGTCTCCTCCGTAAGCTATGCGTGTTGTAAGAGGCGACTAAAAGGCCAGGAGCAAGGGGCTAGTAACCCTTCTCCTTGTTATATTACTGAAATGTGAAAGAGAGAAACTTTTTGTTTTTCCTTTTGGGCCACCCCGCCTCGGGTTAGGGTTACGGCTGGTGTGTTGAAAGAAAGAAAAGATGATACATTAGTATTATAAAATGATAATATCTCCACAGTAGAATAAATTAAACATAAAAATATGAGATGTGGTTATCCAGACGACTTTTTTCAAAGTGACACCATATTAGTTTAATAATAATCAGAGTCTCTTTAATTGTTGTATATTACATTAATATACACATTTTTATTATCCAGCTATAATATTTTTTTCAAAATTATATAAACACAATGCTTAAATATTATGTTGATAAATTACACCCCACTGAAGAATAGATAAAAACTGAAGCCTGTAATTGTTTTACATGAAGGTTTGGATTGCTGATGTCTTTTTATTATTGTCTCAGACCACATTGCAAGATTTCAGGGACATCTTGATACTTCTACTTACACTTTGGTCACACTACCATATGTTCAAGACATATATAAAACCACACCCTCTGGGTTTTCTTCTATTTTTCTTTCTAATTCTTGTTCTTGTTTATTTCACTATATCTCCATGGGGATAGTGGAACAGTGAGTTTTCCTCCGTAAGCCATGTGTGTTGTAAGAGGCAACTAAAATGAGGGAGCAAGGGCATAGTAATCCCTCTGTATAAAATTACTAAATTTTAAAAAGAGAAACTTTGTTTTTCTTTTTGGGCCAACCTGCCTCGGTGGGGGATACGCGGTTTTGAAAAAAAAACAAATATGTGATGTGGTTAGCCGCCCCACTTGTACATGTGTGGCAAGAATAACGTTTTCTTTGTCCAACATAAGTGAAATGTGTTTTGGAGTGTAACACTAGAAATTTATTCCTTTCGTATGCTTCACTCAGAGCGTCATTTCTCTAAAAATGGTTGTTTCAATGAGTCAGTGAGTGTTCCTCTTTATTTATTTCTACCGTATCTTCGTAGAACAACTTTGTACACAATGTAACTTGTACACAAACCAGATGTGGACACTTTGTTTGTTTACATAACCACGTTCGCATGGTTGGTTAACTTTTACTCACGAGTGTCCTCTTTCATGTTACTCATTCTCTCTCTCTCTCATTTTATTTGTTTATTCTCCATTTAATCACCTCTGACCCTACATTAAGACTACAAATATTTTAAGGTAAGTAATGAGTGAAACTGTATATGCATTTTATTGCTTCGGAATGCTTAAATGTTATGATTATGTGTGGGTGGGGGGGGCCTGCTATGGTAGCCTGAGCTGTGGGTACCATACACACCACATTCATGTCTTACAATAAATACTACTTGTCTTTTTTCATCCCTAGATTAAGACTACAAATATTTTAAGGTAGGTAATGAGTATACTATATGTATATTTTACTTTTTTATTGTTTTTTAATGCCTAGTTCTACTGCTAACCCCAATGAAAATAAGTCATACTCTCTGACTTTTTTGGGGT